AGATTTGGGAAGGACCAGGGGTGGAATGATATGGTTTGGCTGTGTTCCTACCCAGATCTCATTTGGAATTCCCACAGATTGTAGGAGGGACTTGGTGGGAGGTAACTGAATCATGGTGGCAGGTCTTTCCCAGGTCGTTCTTGTGATAGTGAATGGGTCTCATGAGATCTGATGGTTTTATAAGGGGGAGATTATCTGCACAAGCTCTCTTCTCTTACCTGCTGCCATGTGAGACGTGTCTTTCACCCTCCACTGTGATTGTGAGGCTTCCCCAGCCACATGGAACTATAGGTCCAAAAAAACCTCTTTCTTTTGTAAATTGCCCAGTCTTGGGTATGTCTTTATCAGCAGTGTGAAAACTAATATACCATTATACAAGTTCTTACGTTACCTGATGAAAGAGAGCTGATTGTCTATCATAAAACCATAAAAACTTTGTTAATACATTTTGAAACCTGAATAATGAGAGAATAGGAATTCTGAACACACATACTAGTTTATCTATAAATTAGAAATATATGTTTCCAGGAAAAAAAATGCTTATTCGAAATTAGAAAAAAACAAAACCCAGTCTTTCTCCTTGTCAACATTTAAAGTTATTAGACAGTAAGACATTCCAAAGCATAATTTAGTTGTTTATCAACAAGAAAAATGTATTACAAGACATTAATTTTATTCCAAATTTTTTAAAAATCTGCTTTTCTCCATGTCAGTATTTAAAGCAGGTGCCATCTTCTGATTAATTAAATCACAAGATGTTCCTTATGCTAACGTCTTAGCAAATAAAACTTAAACAGAAACTGTTAGTTGCACTGTTGTCATTTCTTCTTCTACTTTAAAAAAATTATTCAGAACACCACATGGCCAGCTTGCAAGCTTATTTTCCAGATCACTGATAGCAATGCAATTTTGTATTTGTGTGTGAGTATGTGTTTTGTTTTGAAAAAGACATCAGCTTGAAGCAGTTTCAAATCTCTGGCAATGATTTCTTAAGGAGTATGTCAAAAATGAGCTATTGAACACATTTTTGCCAGGTCACTTGCCAAGTACTTGCTAGGGAGATGTCAAGTTTCAGGGCAACCATAATCCACATTTATGAAACTACTTAGAAAACGATGTGAGAGTTCTGTGGATCTTGCTAAGTATTTTTAGAACAATCAAGAGAATTTTGTTCCTTAGTTTTAGCATATTATAGTCTTCAACGAATATTTTACAAATTTTTTTTCTCAGATACGGTCCCCAAATTTTCTCGAGAAATTCATGTGCTTGAATACTTGTTTAAGCACAATTCAGAACTGCAGGAGGTCTAAGTCTGCAGTGGCTTAATGTAAAGTTAACTTTTTTTTGAATGTAAAAAGGTCAAAATTAATGAAGAAACTGGCAAATTCAAAGTTCCACCAAGGAATAGCCCAGTGCCTTTAACAATCCATTTGAAATGAAGGAGGGAAACCACTCTCTTTAACATTTTCAAGTTTTGAAAGTCTAATGAACCATGCTACCTCCTGTAGTTTCTACCAAACCAAGATGTGTGCTAGGACTGGGCTCATTAGCATTAAGTAGAAGCAGAACACTCAGGTCTGGCTATAGCTTCTTGTAATGTTTTCATCATTATAGTATTTGGTTGACAAAATACTGCTATCTCAACCGTTACTTCATTTTTCTTACTATTTTTGATGTAAAATTCCTGTTATACCATGAATTAAATTTTCCTGAGAGAAAAAAAAAAAAAAAAAGACTGTTTCTGTTAATTCTTTTTAACAAGTGCCCAAAATATATTATTTTTTCAACAACGTGGATTCTCGAAGTAAGGTAGTTCTTGTGACTGTTTACTTTCTCTTTCATATGTCCCAGACTATTGGATTATGGTTTGTGAGATAAGGAAGAAAAGGAGTAATGAAAACATAGATTATTAGATATATAGGTAACTTGGGTTTTTTTTTTTTTGAGTCATTAAAGTAGGAATTACATTATCAAAGCTCAAAATGTTAGCAATGAATTTAATTCAATGGCTTTAAAATTTTTTACATCTCGTCTGGGTGCGGTGGCTCACGCCTGTAATTCCAGCACTTTGGGAGGCCAAGGCAGGTGGATCACTTGAGGTTAGGAGTTCTAGACCAGTCTGGCCAAAATGGTGAAACCCTGCCTCTACTAAAAATATGAAACTTGGCAGGGTGTGGTGGCACGTGCCTGTAATCCCAGCTACTGGGGAGGCTGATGCAGGAGAATTGCTTGAACCCAGGAGGTGGAAGTTGCAGTGAGCCGAGATCAAGCCACTGTACTCCAGCCTGGGGAACCGAGCAAAACTCTGTCTAAAAAAGAAAAAAAAAATTATGTCCCTTCATTGCAGAGAATAATTTTTGCTGAAATGAAAAACCACTAATTATTTGGGACACACCTTTTCAGGTTACTAGATTCTGATTCTTTTGGAGCCTCTGTATTTTTCATTATATTTGAACTCTTTTTCAAGCTGTAAATAAATAATACTAAAGCAAAATATTTCTGGTCTACAGATATGGGAATAAATTCTGAGGGATAAAGATTCCATTGAATTCTCCTCCTCACTCTGGAAGCCAGTTTTGCCTCCATGAGTACATTAATTTCAAGGTTTTTGATCTATAAATGTGTATGTTCCTTAAATTATCCTTTTATCTGGTTGTAATATCCTATCAGGTCCTTCATTAATGAATTAACATATTCATTTCATAAGTGTATGAAAATCACACTTTTTATGTTTTTTAAACTAAGTGGTGATATCCATAGGATCTGTATTATGTTCATATTTTGAAAACAAAATACAAATGTATTTCTTAGGTTGCATATAATTTAATTTCTAGAATTAGAATCTTTCTCTTGCTCTACTGTCCCAGCACAAACAGATGTTCATGTTAGTGTTTCAATATAAATGGACTCAAACAACATCTCTCAGATTAGAATCAGTATTCTGTTGTGATTTTTTAAAAAAAGTGTGTATGTATTTTGATCTCCATTTCCCCCAAAATTCTGTTGATTGCAGATGTCTGAAGAATAGTCTTAGTGGATTATCCCAAACTTGACACATCTTTTGCAAAATGCTATACAAAAAGAAGATATATGTGATTATGACAAGATTCTCCACTTGGTGTGACTGATCTAATACAACCCAAGGCTGTGTGTCCAAAGGTAACTGCATTGTGAGTTTCACATTTCCAAAGTTTTAGGTGATATGTACAATCTGATTAGACTTTAAATCTCATATCCTCTGCAGGTATTGGAAAATATAAGGATGTCATAAATATGTATATTTATATTTAAAATGTGCTTACATTTATATAAATATATAAATAAAAATATACAAATAGTTGTTTATAAAGCTAACAATGTGATTATATGCTTTTCTTTTTCCTAGGTAGTGTGGGACTAGAAACAAATTTGTAATATTTTGCATTGCATATTTGGCTGAGATCTGCCACTTAGTTGAAGTATAATCTTCAGCAAATGACTCAAAATTTCTGAATCTTGTTTTCATCATCAATATGTGACAATAATATTTTCTCCTTTAAATATTTGAAAGTGTTGAGAAAACCATAATAGTAACACTTGCAAAAATGCTCCATTGTAAAATGCAAGGTAGAGGTAGTTGTGAGCCTTTGGGCAAAACTATAGTTGCCACAGTTGTCTCTGAGATGAAGTACTTTTCTTAGACTGAAGGAAATCCCTGGGAGAGATTGGTCTAGCCTTTGGATGACTGTGGGTAGAGCTTCTGAGGAGAAGAATGAAATGTATTCCTCTTTTCCTTCTCTCTAGGAATACTGGAAAGCATTTATTTGTTTGCTAAATTGCTCTCTTTCCACCAGTGATATCAACTCTTAAATACTTTTTAGTAAGTTTGGAATTACTAGAAAACCAGTGAATGTAAAAGTGAAGGTGTATGCGTCTTGGAAAGTTCAGAGGGAGTACATTGACTGATATTTGGATCAAATTCCTCTAACTTGAATGAGTTACCTTGGAAAATTATCTCTACAAATTCTTACTTACATTTCTGACTGTCAGGTTAAAGTGAATAATTATTTTCTGCATACCTAGATGTGATTTGGAAGCATCTGTATTTTGCTCTATTCTGTTGAGAGGGAAACTAGCTCTGTTTCATGTGCTGGTTTTCTGTGTCTGATACTTGATGTTTCTGTTGCTGTGATGTAATTTATTCAAGGTAGATATGATAGATGTTGAAAAGGGAAGAAGTAATGAAGCTGTGGGGGTAATCAGACATTTATTAAAACGTTTCCCATTTTTTTGTGGAGGGAGGGCTTTGGTGTATCTGGGTTTCTCAGAATAGCAATGATACCTATATTTCAAAATATCTTATAAAACCAAGCATGAATCTTTTTTATGGTTTGTTGTTTTATCTACCACATTGTTCTCATTTATTCAGTTGACTATCATAGAGGAACAGATATGGGAAAGAGGGCTTAAAGAATTCATTTGGCATGAGATCTCATTTGTGTATTACGGTTCGGTATTTACAAACTAAAGGTGTTCAGTCAAATAACATGTTTTACTTGGAAACCAAGGTATTTTTAAGGAAATTGCATCTGAATGCCTTCAGGTGCCCATTGTTTCATACCCAGCTGTCTTAAGAAATTACACTCTGCCTTGCTCTTACAAGCATTTGAGTTTTCAGTTGTTTAGCCTGTAAGATCATCAGAATTTTATCATCAGTCTCTGTTGCTAACTCTGCTGTATTTCACCTGGTAAAGATTCTAAATAATTAATAATAAAATGTTTCCAGAAAACTTATTTTTAGTTTAGATGTAGTTCAGCTCATCAAACCTTTTAGGAATCAGCAACAGCAAGAAAGAAAATAGCGTGGAGTCCTTTGAAACGGTAGCATCTAAAAATTTTACCCTGTACTGCTTTAGAGTAAGCAGAAAGATGAATGTAATACAGGAAGTAAAGAGAATAGCAGAAATATCTTCAAATTATTATTTCTTCCTTCTTTCTCTTAAACTAATAGAGTTTTAAAATGAGTCAAATACATATTTTAATTGATAAACTGAGTTTATATTCACCTATTGGAAACAGTACAACATATTTTACATCAGGTTATGAAATATGGATGTTTTACTAAAAGACAGGAAGAGCTTTTTCCAGTCTTTAAAGTAAATACATATTCAAAGAATCTTAAGGCATACCATTTATTCATATTCATATCTATTGAAATACTGTACATCCACATACTTCAATAAATAGTTAAAAACCTGACCTCTTTTTAAATCATTTCTGGATTTCAAAAAACAATTTTTATTGAAAAGATTAAATAGGTAACTTTTGGCTGTGTCACAAAGCTAAGCACAATGGATAAATTAACAATTATTCAGTAAATTTGATCATTGTAGATGAATGACTTTGATAATTTAGTTTTTCAGAGTATTTTGACTTCAAACATAGGGGTATTTATATATATATATGTGTGTGTGTATATATATATATATGTTTGGGTTTTTTTTGCCCTGAATTGTCTGGGTAATTTTCTCAGTTCTCCAGTCTACTTTCTAGATATAGCTTAAACATTATGATGAAGCATTAATTTTTCAGTTAAGTCATAAACCCCCCAAAAGCGGCTTTACATTTGAAATTCTCTCTCTCAAATCTCTTAGTGTCTCAAAAACACTCACATTACTATAACTTGGGCAAACTTTTTATTATATAATTGCTGCATAATAGGAACTCAATGGTATAATAGGACTTACGTTTCAAATGTGCTCATTGTAAAACATAATTACACCACTTGCAGTTAAACTAAGAATGCAAATGTGTAAGTTAACTACCCTAACACTCTGATTCTTCCTTCCCTCTCATCCTTTCTTTCTCCCTGCCTTCTTCCCTTCCTTCCTTCATGCCTTCCACCCTTCCTTTTTTCCTCTTTACTGCCTTTCCTTTTCATTCTTTTTCTTTTCTCTCCATTCTCATTTTTAAACTGCTACTTATTTTTCTTTCTCCCTTCTTTAAAAAAATAGGGGCAACAAAAGGAGTCCCACAAATGGAACCTGTAGAAAATATAATCCTGAAATGAACAGCTAACAAAACTTGTTATAGATTAAAAGATAAATCAATTTATAAAACTGCTATTCTGAAATTGCAACAATCTTGTACAGTCAGGACTGATAAAATGGAGTAATCAGACATTTTATATGTCCATAAATGTAAAATCATCTACTTGAACATTATATGCAATACATTCACACAATAAAGCAAATACTGTAGCCTTATTTGACAATATTGAACTCATAAATACTCATGATTTCACTCTGTCCGAGGGCCTAAGGACTAGGAATGCTGCTGTGATACAGAAAAACATAGTGAATACCTCCTCTATTTAAAAATGTCACTCAAGAAAGTCTCTTCTAACATAAAGGCAAATACATATAGCTACTGAGCTATGACTGTACTTCTGTCACATTCTATGGTAAAAACACCAGACTCCACAAATTCGGAATCATGACAACACTTTGAACTAATTATTTGGTTCATCCATAGTTTATACCTCAATTTACCTACAAACCTTACAAAGAGGAGGTATTTTAATTCTAGGAAAGCGGTCACTGAATAATACGCATTCTTGATCTGTTTCTTTCTCCCAAACAATGGTAGTGATGGTTAACATTTTCTGTGGTAGCACCACTATTTCTAGTAAGTAGATTATTATGGAGTGTGCCACTTTAAAGCTGCAATACAAAATAATATTTTGTAGTTTATTCACCAATTCCACAAAGAATATTTTTTAAAAGCAAATAAATAATAAAGTTAAATGCCATATTTGTTCTAAAAACTCTTTTTTAATGTATCAATCAAAATAATGTCATACATTTATTATAGTTAGTAGATTTACTAGCTTTATGCCTTATCATTACGATTTTGTGGAAAGAGTATACTATGTCCCCTCATTTAAGATTCATTTTTCTAATTAAAATTGATTTATGGTGTACTTTGGGACTAAGTTTAACTTGAAGAAAAAAAAAATCACAGTTTTTAAGCCATCCCTGCTAGGGCAACATACTAGATATCTCAAATATGTATAACCACTGCAAAATTTCTTGTCTCTAATTTTATTGTAGGATCTTTGTTGTTATGACTTAGAAAAGGGGACTATTTGTAGAAATCTAGGTGTACTGAAATTGGTAACTTCATCAAACCCGTAAAATGGCTTTCAAGGTGATGGTCTTTCTTTAGTAAAGAGTGAAACCATCAAACTATTCCTGCAATTTAATGTTTCGAGTAACAGCATTTTCCTTCAAAATGTAGTTTTCATTATTTATAGTAGAAATAATTTAACATTCACAATATTTTGATAATTAGTATATCTTAAGATATTCTCATCATTGGTGTTTTGTCTTTATTTGATCACATCTTACATATATCATGTAAGAAAAAATAAGGGATGGTCTTTTTTGGTTTTACTTGTTTGAGCTGAAATGGCTATATAGAAAGATTTTATTGAAGAATTACCTATTTTAGAGATTGGTCTGCTACATACCAATATAGAATGTCTGTTATAATATATTTTGGAACTTTTAAAATATATAACATGCATTCCAGACTATCAACCGAGTGATATTTTCAGATGGAAAATATGCAAAATGCTCCTGTCCACAGGAGCACTGCCTCTGTCAACTAACTTAGCTGCCACAAAACAAAATTAATGATGAGTGCTTACCAACTCATGTAGTATTAGGTGATAGGACTTTGTGCCCTTTCTGACAAATCATCTTAAAATTTTTGGCTTGGAATAGTGGAAGGAAAAGATGCTGTATTGCTAGGCAATCCTTTGAGTGGACTGTGCTGTCTTTTTAAAGGAAATGGTTTCCCACGGTGGATCTAACATTTAGCTACAACTAAAGAAATCATATGGTATATTTATTATACTGTTATTAAATTGTTTCTCATCACAAGAACTGAGTTAGTGTGGGGCAAAATTCACAAACCCCACTGTCAGTGCAGGAAGAGATTTTTACAGTCCAATAGCTCCTTCCTTCATTACTTAGAGATAGTGTATGGTTTAACTATCATTCTGGTTTATTTTTGCTTTCAAATTGTAAGATTTAGCAAAACATTTTATATTAGTTGGAGACAAAGAGAAAAATATTATTTTATGAAGGCACACCCATGCTGAACTTACAGGAAAGAGAAGCAGAGCTGCACAGCCAGTTATATTACAAGGCTCATTCCTGAAACCTGAATATCATGCGAGCAGAAAAATCTAGATATGTGTTATATTTTGAAGAAATAATCTGAAGGCAATATTATTTGCTTTTTTATCAAAAACGAAAAAATGCATCTTTGTAAATGTGGATTGACTCTTATTGAAACAGGGAACTGAATGCTTGTATTGCAGCCTTAAAGAATCACATATTCACTGCAATATTCGTTTTTGTAAACTACAGCCTGCAACCTAGCAGACCATGACTGAATGCTTTTGAAAAGTTGTAGATTACAAACATGAAATCACAATTAATATCCTCTAAAAGTAATTTCAGAGCTTTCACATCTTAAAAAAAGGACAATGTGTACTGCTTCACAAGGTAATGTAGCTAATCAAAAAAGAGTAGAATTAAAGTATTTACATAATGAGCAATTCTACAGAAGGCGATCATCCCCATGTAAGCACTGCTGATTATATCCCACGCTGCTTTTAACAAACTGTACCAGATTGGATCCAGCCATCAGCACTTTCAGAGAATCCTTAAAAGCCTTTTATGGGTCTTTAAATTTATTGTAGAATGGCATTCTTCAGGTAGAATATGCTGGTGAAAGAGGACAGTGTCAACACAAGGTACCAGCAGGAGAAAAGAACATCAGCGTTCCCGGTAATTCCATACTGGGCTGTACTTGGAGCTGGAAAGAAATGGAAAAGATTAAATCAAAATGTAATTTGTGTCTTCCAAGATCTTGACAATAATCGAAAGGTAGCCGGGTGCATTGGGGAAAGCACTGACATTGGAGTCAGACAGACTTAAGTTCATATCTGATTCTGCTATATGACAATGTGTGGGCTATGTGGCTAACTTCTCAGAGCTTCAGTTTTCTCAGGGCAAAATGAAAATAATAGAAATAATAGAATCCACCTCACAGGGCTGTGGTGAGAATTGGCGATGAAGCACATACAGCATATTACATCAACTAAACACATGCTAAGTACTCAAAAGCTACTAACATTATTATTCCTCTTATACATACTGTAAATATTTGTATTAGTGGACAATATTCATTCATGCGTGTATATGTAGCTGTGTTTTATTAGCTAAATACTGTACTAAATGCTAGAAAAACAAGAATATTGTCCCTTCCAAGGTCTTTTTTTTTGGTGAGAAAAGATCTTCAAACAATTATAATACAATTCTGGGAATATTAGAGTTGCATGTGCATATCGCAGTAGCACAGACAAATTGTGCTTTTAAATATGCTGGGCAAGGGAGATTTCAAATACAGTTTTACCAAAGGAGACTATCATGTGGGTAGACGAAACAACATATTCAAAGGCATAAGAAAAGGACAGAGCAAGGTGTATCATGTAGAATGTAAAGGTAGATTTAGTCTTGCTGGACCATGAAGTTTGAGGCCTGAAGTGGAGGGAATTGAAACTAGACCTCTAGACAGGTAGAATGACCTCTACTGTAATGAAAAAGGGACTAGGTTTTTATACTGAAAGATATTTTGAAGAATTTGGAGAGTTGAATGTGTGACTACATTTACACATCAGAAAGATTACAGTCTTGTATATGGGGATGTTCACACGGTACTTGGCTAACAGTTATGTTGAATTTTCACTGAATACCTGAAGATTCATCACGTTTGGGATATTGTTGGAGTGTTCTGAAGGGGTACCACTTTGTTTATGAAAGGATAGTTGCCTACTTGTATGTAAATTATATTGTGTTCCAGAAATTAAATGTTACAACCGTGTTTGGACTTGTTTGAGACTATTCTCATTTACCATCATAATAATAATAGCAATAACAAGAAACCCACCAGCATATTTTAACCACCTTTTCTTAATGAAACCTGGATTTCAAGCACTATTTCCTAGTAGAAATTGAATAATGTAGCAAAGAAATTGACTACTTCATTTCTAAATTTATAACTCAAATCCAGGAGCAGGTTTAGTCACACTGAGTTTGAATTACCAGAGATAGTTTTAATGAAACTTTCACAAATCACTATATTACTCTGTAACAAGAAGAATAAATTGTGTTGTTTACACTTCCAAGAAATTAAAGGGGATGAAAGATACATTGGTCCCTGCAGTGGGAAGTTTCCTTGACAATGCAATTATTGATTCCAGGTGAGTGGGATTTGAGCACTGAGACTACTATTTTTTAATAAACAGAGAGCAAAATTAACGATTTAATGCATGTATATAATTACAAATGAGTTTTTTTTTTAAATAAAAAGATGAAGAAAGTAAGCCTATTGTTGAACAGACAGCTTTTCAATTTCTGATACATACAAAGTCTAATTTAAAGCTACGGAACTCCTTATTTTCCCTTTTTCAAGACCTAGAAAAATATTTTAAAAATATAAATAAATCTTTATTTAGTATATGACCTTCTCAATAATAGTTATGCTAGAATTGTTTTTCAAGAAAGTTGAGTGTAATAAAACTTGCATAATGGTAAAAGACCAATAATATGTAAAGCATATAAATGGTTTCATAAATAAGAAATAAAATTTAAAAGCTAAGCATAAAAAGCAAAGGTGAATTATTTTTGTTATGACAAATTAAGTAGTAACATTAAATGGGTAGATTATCAAGGCCCCTCAAAACTCCTTATCCATCCTTTAAAATGCATTTTTGGGCAATCGTTCCTGGATCCCCTCTCCTTCTCCAACAAACTGAGCTGACTACCCCTTTTGTGTCATGAGACCATGAAATATATATGTTATGTAACATCACACTGCATTGCAAATATTTGTTTACATATTCATTTCTTCCAACAGATTTAAACTCTTCTAGGTCATGTCTTATTCATCTTTGTGTTTCCAGACATAAAATCTGGCAAAGTGTGGTATATAGTGGATGCTCAAGAAATGTCCAAGTAAATGACTCAATCAAATGAATGGGTCATAATCAAAATGAGTATTTCTATCCTACAAAATGGAATCTCTTCTGTAGCAAGCCACATGATTATAGGCTAGAAAATGTACTATAGTAACATTCATTCGTTCATTCATTCATTCATTCATTCATTCATTCATTCAGCAAGTTTTAATTGAACTAGGTACCAAGCACTCTCCTAAGTGCTGGCAATGCAGCACCTAATAAGATAGGTATGATCCTTTTATTACTTAATTCTGCCTTCCCCAATGTAGTTGTATCTTCTTTCACTCAGCCTCCTATTGTCTTAAACATAACAAAGATATTACCAATAGCATATTTTAAATTTATTACTTTACAATTAAAATAGCATACATTTTTTTTCACTGATGCCACAAATGTATATACTTTTTTTTGTTTGTGAATATAATACTTATATCAGTCCTGAAATAAACTAGAAACTGGGGGATGAATTATTAGCTTGCAGTTGTTACAGGCAATAGACTGTGGAGCAAACGTGAATAATCAGTAGACCAAAACACAAAGATCTAAGTTAGTCACCATAATGTGAGATCAGATACCTAATATCAAGTTCTATGTCATCAATCATACTCTTTAACTATCTACTGAATATCTATTATGTTCATGGGGTTGAATTAAGCCTCCCATAGGCAAAGATGAATAAAACCCAATCCTCTCTTTCAGGAAGAGCTTATTCTAGTTGGGGATATAAATAAATAGGTAAATATAGAACATTAGGGTATATGGAACTTGAAGGATAATATACAAACTTGGGAGGACTCCCTAGGGGGTCATGGCAGGTAAGTAATCTAGGCAACAGTTACAAATACAATTATTTTTTACAAAATGCAATGATATACATACGTTAGTACACACATATCTCATTTTTAAAATGGCTCTATAACATTCCATTGTTGGGGCATGCCATTGTTATGCAACCTTATTCCCATTAGCCGGTATTTATTATGTGTGGTTTGTGTGTGTTATGACTGTTTGGCTGAATTATTTGAAGAACAGTGCTAATGACACTAAAGGTAAGGGCCTCAGTATTATTTGGGTCAATAGATTTTCTTAGGTTAAATGCAAATCTACTACTTGATCTTAAGAAAATGACCATTAGCTATTAGAAATTAGCCTCAAGACTGGACTGAAATATCACTTAGAAAAAAACCTTCAGAAAATCCCATACGACAAATTAAGCATTACCGCCTTTCCCCCATATTACTTAGTAACTGGTAATACACTTACACTCTTAACCTGTTTAGGTCAAGAATGTCTTGAAGCAAAGATACATTATATATATCTTTTATCTTTGATACTGAACACAGAGTTTGGTACTTAAAAGGTGTTCAGTAAATGTTTGTGCTTCACATCCATTTCCCCCAGTTACCACAAACCTATACAGAGACAAAATACCTTGACTTCTTTTGTCAGAGAGTATCATCTTTTCCTTTTGTATTTTTGCTGAATCTTTCTTCTTCTTCTTTTAGTTTCAGGCTCATTATACTTTGACCTGTACAGGTCAGACTACCTCCCTTAAGTATTTTGAGCAAGAAGACGGATCATTAAGTAGACAATATGGGAACAGAGCATGTACTGAACTTTATAACATCATACTCTTGCCACAAAAGACTGTCAGCATAGGTGAACCCATAGGTCCAAGCTAGAAGCCTGAATTCCTTAGAAGACATCTAGTTGAGCCTCTGGGATGGCCAGACCAGTTGAAGGATCTCTGCCAAGTTTTTAGCTGCTTTTCAATATCATGCTGCTATTTACCTTAAGTAAAATTAGGCAGGATAGGTTGTGTGATCAGAGGTGTATCTGGGCTATGGCAAGGGCTTTAGTTTCATTCTAAGTGACATGAGAAGCCATAGGAGAGTTTGATTATTTTTAAAGGATCACTTGGGTACTCAGTAGACAATAGATTGTACTAGGAAAGGCAAGAGTAAAGCCTATGTTGATCGGGTGCAGTGGCTCATGCCTGTACTTCCAGCACTTTGGGAAGCCGAAGCCGGTGGATCACCTGAGGCCAGGAGTTCGAGAATAGCTTGGCTAACATGGCGAAACCCTGCCTCTACTAAAAGTACAAAAAACTAGCTGGGCCTGGTGGCATGCACTTGTAGTCCCAGCTACTCAGGAGGCTGAGGCATGAGAATCACTTGAACCCGGGAGGTGGATGTTGCAGTGAGCCAAGATCGTGCCACTGCACTCCAACCTGGGTGACAGAGCAAGACTCTGTCTCAAAAAAAAAAAAAAAAAGTAAAGCCTATGCTAGCTCACATTCAAGTATTCCCCATTGTCTATTGAGTGAAGCCAAAACTTCAGGAACCTCTGCCATCTGGTTCTAGTCAATTTATCCAGACTCACACCACTTCTTCACTCTAGTCATACAAGCCATTTTCTGAGAACATAGAGTGTTTCATTACCCCATGTCCTTTGCACATGCTACCTCCTTAAACCTAGATAGCCTTCTTCCTATTCCTCTTTGCATATTAAAGTCCTGCTCATCCTTAAACATCAAAAATACCAGTTTTTCCATGAGACCATCCCCAATCTAAGAAAAATTATTAGTCTTCTGCTTATACCTAACTTCAGAAATGTTTTCTTTCTTCTTAACTTATAATTAGTTATATATATGTGATATATAAATATAAACATCTTGAGGTTATGGAACATTCCTCCCTATATGTGCATCTGTATCTTATATCAAATGTCTTCAATTGATGTTTATTGGATTGGATGTGAAATAATATTCCTAAATATGCATGTGTCTAATTCA